TCTTTCCCTATTATAACTTGAGTATTATTTGCCTATTGCATAGCTCATTCACCTCAAAGAGTTGGATTCCTCCACAGCTCTTCCCAACACTCAAAATCCTGTTAAATGTGAACTACGTATTTTTGCCATTTTATTTAATATTTCTTTTCTTAAGCTGTTATAAAAAAGAAGGTAAAAGGTCCCCATCAATCTGAGCTTTGCTTAGTGCAATGTTGCACCAGGAGGCACCAAGAGGACCTTGTCTACTCTCCTTAATGATCTCCCAGCACACCTGAAATGTGGGAGTGTCCTGTGGTATCCATAGGGGAAGCATTTCCTAACTGTCAAGGGATATTAGCTAAGCACCTCAGGAAGTTTCTCCACAAAATGAGAATCCCAGGACAGCCCTTCTGATCCAGCAGAGAGGAGGTAAGGAGGTATTTCAGGAACAGCTCATTTTTCTAATACATGTCTTAAATTTTTAGCCACGTCTCTTGTTGATGAAGGATATGGATTATCCTTCCTATGGAAGGAACAGAACTGACACTTCACTCTTGAGAAAAATTATGCAACTTTACTAATTTTCTAATGAAAGCTTCCATTATCAGCTCAAAATAAGTAGTATTTTGAAAAAGAGCATGGGAGCTGTATATTGAAACGCCCACAGTTGTCATACACAAACACTGCACTTGCACATTAAACAGCACTTTTTCTGGCACTGGAAATAGGACCCACTTCATTTCTAAAGTTGTTTGCTTTGAGTTCTTGAGACATGAAGGTTCTCAGCTGGAGTTTCAAGAGTTGGGTTGGCAAGAGTCACAGTTAGGGAATTCCAGGGGTTTAAGGCTCAGGTTGACAAGGGCTGTGGTGTAGGGTTGAGGGTGGATGTGAAAGGCTTTGCTCAGGTGGGGCTTGTGCCAGTATGAAATCCCTGTCTAATTTTAGGACTTCACCTTACAGAAGTTTTGATATCAAGATCAATCAGGATTTTTGTTGGGAAAACCCTTAGGCAACAGGCTGATGAAGAAAGATCAGTATTGGATTGAGAAGCCCTTACTAAATTTAGGGCTGGTGCCAAGAGAAGCAGGAATCCAACACCAGTGCAAATCCTTGCTTAGTTTAACACAGTGAGGCCTTCCAGCCTTATGAAAACCAAAGAGGCCACACCTCTGATCAAACCTTGCAACCCTTGCCAGATCCAAAACCACCTCAAACTCTCAGGCTTTGCTTGCCTGTGTCCTCCTCCATCACCTAAACCTAAAGCTCAGCTGTCTCCCGGCAGACCCAGACACCTTCAGTTATTCCCAAATCCAAACCTAATTCAGTCTGGGAGGCAAATTTAACTCCAGGACATGTTTTTATCCCATCCTGAACCACAGTCACTCTTGTGACCCAAAAATCAATTTAAGTGAATACTGAATTTAATCATACTGGTTCCTGCCCACCCCAGATACCAGAGTTAGGTGGTGTTGATGTGACAGACTTTGCATGGTGGCTGAAAGCAGCTGATAGGCAAGTTTAGGGTTGGTGTTATGATCACAATTTTAGGCAGCAAGGACCAGGGACTTCAGTCTGTGGCTGTCTCCAGCAGAAATCTGCCTGGCTTCAACCCAGGACACATCAGTAATTTCAGATCTGGGGCTAGAAAAGGTCAAGAGATTCCAAAGTGTTGGAGAGTCTGCAACTGCTGGAGCATCTCCTCTACCAAAATCAGGCAACAAGCCCAGGAATCATGAGTGTAAGTGTTTCTGGCCATGATCACTAAAGGCCTCTTTTGTGGTGTCTGGTATGCACAACTCTGTAAATAAACTTCACCATGGGACAGCCTAGGAATAAAATCTAAGTGACAAAATACATCTGTTCTTTTTAATAATTACAATATTATTTTTAAAATCATTTAAATATTATCATCATTAAAATAAATATTATCATCATTAAAATATTATTTTTAAAATCATTTAGAAACTTACAAAAGTGGTGAAGTCTAGGCCTCAAAAATTGGGGAACATAAATAAATGTAATTAATTAAATTCATTAAGTGCACACATGCAAGTGCATTATAATTCAGCCTTTAATTGCATGACAGCATAATGGTTTTGCTTGTGTTATTGAATACATTTGGTAAATATTCCTCCTCAGCGTTAGGAGAAATGTATCAGGGATGGGCAGCTAATAATGGTATGCTTACTAGATAGAGTTCTTACCTTCCAAGCTAAAAAAATTGTGAAATACCTAGTAAAAAGGGAAAAATATTCCAGAAAGGAGAAAAAAACCCATCACAATTAAAGAAAATAGAGAACCTGAACATGAAAAAGACTGCAAAAGGCTCACTAAAGTCATAAAATCATTAAAATGATTGTGTCATCTGACAATATGTCCAGATCAGAGACACTAGCTGTAAGTCAGAGATAGCAGCACTACCCGAAATCACAAGAGGATTGTGAAGATAATTCATTTCAATGTGAATTGTGAATGAATTACTTCAGATATCTAAAGACACAGGCACAAGAATGCCTGCAAAGAAATACATCAGTACTGAGCTGGATATGTAAAGATATGTTTGCAAGAGGAATATTAAAGAAATAGTGACAAAGTACACTCTCTCATCTGATGGGGGAAAATAGCATATATGAAAAGAATTGAAAACCCCCACCTACGTGCCCTTGTGCAGGTATTCTGATACCTTATTTTTTAAAAAAAGAAGACATAAGACTGCTCCAGGAAATGTGTAAAGAATATTAAAAGAAATTTAGATGTCAAAGTTAGCAACCAGTCACTCAAGCTCAACCAGGAAAAAAAAAATCAAAACTAAAAATAAAGCATTAAGAATATCTGTGTGCTTAAAAAAAGACAGGCTCATTTTCTGTGCTGAATTTGGGGCTGAATAAGGACTCAGAGGAAATAACAGAATCTGTGGCACATTTTTGCACCACAGTGACATCAGCACCTTCGTGGATGAGACGCTTCAGTGCCCAGCACTTGATGTGCTTCACTTAGCCCGGGTCCAGGCCAACACACTCATGAAACCATGAGAACTCTTGCTCACAGTCCTTTCCAAAGCCATTTGCTTTGTAAAAAGATTAAACAGACACTTCAGTCATTCCTATGGCCATGCTGCATCAGGAATACCCATGAGAAGCAGCTATGTCTGATCTAAATAAGATTTAACTTCTCTGCCTCATTGTGAGGACAATGAGGCATTCATGGTCCCTACTCTTGAAAGTGGTTGTTGTAAGAACTAATAAATGTGTGCTGTATAATTCTGCTAAGACTGAGAAAATTGCATAATGAAACTGAATTCCTGAGTGGCTTATGACTATGATTTACTCAGGACTTCCATTAAATAATAACATAAGCTACAGAATTTGTTGGATATTAAACCAGGTTTTAAGCAAGGACAGGGTCTACAAAGTACAGCATTGAGCATGGACAGCATTTGTGAAAAATGTAAAGAGGCACAGCTTTCCAGCTGGACCTGGAAACTGGAGCAGTTGAGAGTGTATCAGGAGCTTTTACTTTCTATTACAAAGAAAAACAACCGATATCTCCATAAATATTAAATGTATCAATGAGGAAAAAAAATTACATGTTTTGTTACTGTGATAAAAAATGTTCAAGACCTAGGCAGCTTCTTCATCCCTCAGCTGACTGTAAGGATGAGGGTTGTGCACAGTCCATGGGAAATTCTTTATTATAAACTTCACAGAGGCAGCTCCAGAGCCTCACACAAAAATACCCTGGCAATTCTGATGTGTGAGAGTGTTCTCAGGCAAAAAGCAGTAGAAGTTTAGCATAGGGAAAAATTTGGTTAATTTTGTCCTCTAGAGTAACTGGAGTTTCTTGAGTCCTACCTAAGCATAAAGGCCCAGAGAAGCTGATTTTAGCCACAGGATGGATGGTGGTGGTGTCTCCCTCCTGCCTGCAGGCTGGTCTATGATCTGACAAATGCTCAGAATCTTGGCTGCTTCCCTCCCCTTTAGGGTGGGTTGTCACCCTAATACACAGTTTTGGTAGCTCTGATGCCAAAATCTGGAAATAACTTTCAGCAGCAATCCCTCAGTAATATGGTCAAACATCAGGTTCTTGAACTCAATGCACTTGGTTGACTTTTGACTGAAAAGCCAACATGGATGACCAGCAAAACCTGTAATTCTTTAGTAATAGTAGTAGTGTAGTCAACCCTGAAGAATTTAATTTTTAAATTCAGACATAATTATTCCAGATATTGTATGTTGAAAAATATTGGTTCCTGCATCCAAGAGTTTCATGTGCAAGTGCAGCATGGAACACAGAAGGATAAAGAAAGAAAATATGAGAAAATAAGTAGGTAATTGGTGTGACAGCATCAGCAGGCCAGCACAGGGACTGGTCTGCTTCTGGGGGGAGCCAGCACAGGAAAGGAATGTTAATGACAAAGCAGCAGCAAGATGATGATGAATCTTGGTAAGTAATTACAAGATGGAAAAAGGGTAGACCAGACAAAAGCCACTCAGAAATCTAATGAAGTAGGCAAAGGAAGCATCACAGGTCACTTGAAAGCAGGAGTCAGTCACTAATTTTTCCCTGCCTTGAACTTGTGGTACTTCAGACCAAGCACAGTGGTCAGGATTTCCAGAAGCAGCTTCAGCCACTCATTCTTTAGGTGTCTAGTCTGAGATCCTTCAGAAGCACCTGATTTTCAAAGAGCAGGTATCTCACCTGCTTTGGACAGTCAGCTCTCTGGCTTATACTGGACACCAGCAGACCCAGCTACTCACCCCCAAATCTCAAGTCACTTCTGATAGTCTTGGCTTATATAACACCTCCAATATTCTTATCCCTTCAAAGGGAACAAAAATGCTTACCTGAGCTGATTGTGTCTCTGGCTACTGAATGCAAATGTGATGGAGGAAAGGAAACCAAAGAATGAACAATTATAGACTTGTATTAACCACTGACTGCAAAAGGCTGGTGTACACCTCTGAAGAGTTGCACAGGACAAGGTGAGTGATGTGTGGTGTGGCTACACAACACATACAGATATGGAGGCAAAGAAGGCCAATGCCAGCCAGAATATTGAGGACAAAGGAAAGTGAGCCCAAAGATTACATGTACTAAACTTTCCAGCTATAGCTGAGATTTTCTGTTTATTCCATAAAGTAAAACATATTACTTCCCAGGGAATCAGAGAAGAATAGAACAGCAATTTTGCAGTCACATTAGGATACCATTACAGGTGAGAGAAAATTTATGTTTTATAGATTGCTCCATTCTAGGGAGTCAGTGCCATGTGAATATCAAAGAAACTTCCTTCTATGCTATTTCTCCATCCTGATTTTAAACTAAGCACTTGACAAGATTGCTGCACATTAGTTATGTTTCCCATATGAGTAATAAAGAACTAATCACACACATTTACAACATTACCAAAGCAATTGAAGCTAAATTATAGGGAAAGTCTATTTTATTAATGACTATGACTCAGAACAATTCAACAATCTCTTCTGCTTACCAAGTCCAACAAATACTCTGATCTCATGACACCCCACCTGGAGGAATGTGTTCAGCTCTGGGGCCTCCAAAATAAGGACATGGAGCTCTGTGTGGTGGAGCATATCCAGAGGAGGCTGTGAAGATGCTCTGAGGGCTGGAGCACCTCTCCTGTGGAGAGAGGCTGAGAGGGTTGGGGTTGTTCAGCCTGGAGAAGGCTCTGGGGAAAATCTACATCACCTTCCAGTGCCTAAAGGGGACCTAGGAGAGAGCTGGAGAGGGATTTCTGACAAGGACATCAAAAGGGCATAGTAATAGGACAAGAGGGTCAGTTTAGATTAAATATAAATTTAGGGAGGAAATTCTTCACTGTGAGGATGGTGAAGCACTGGAACAGGTTGCTCAGAGAAGTTGTGGCTGATCCTTCCCTGGAAGTGTTCAAGGCCAGGTTGGATGGGACTTTGAGGAACCTGGTCTAGCGGAAATTGTCTCTGCCCATGGCAGGGGTTTGGAACTAAATGACCCTTAAATTCCCTTCCAACTCAAACCACTGTAGGATTCTATGATCTCATTACATAAAAGAGGCTATTGCTACCCCCCATGTGTAAGCTTTACAAGATCAAGCAACTTTTGGGGTTGGAAGAATTGTTTCACCTTGTTGAGCTTCACATGGCATTTTCCTACAAAATTTGACAAGATTTCTAAAACAAGCACTTTCATTTCAGTAAACACTTGCACTTCTTTGCTGGCACAGATTCTAATCTTTTTACCAAATTCACCAAATGCATTGGTGAATGCGTTTTCACAATGAGCAATTCTTTTAGGAAAAGATTGGTACAAAGGGGAAGAAGAATTAAAGAGAGTGAACTTTGCTCCACAAACTTGTTGCTTTCCTGTCTCAGGAATTTCCTCAGCTTGCACCTCGGGTGACATTTACTTGAATTGTCTTAAAGAGAGCAAGGAGATGATGCATCAAATAGATGATTGGCTCACATAGCAACAGTGATTCAGTAAAAGGTCAGCTTTATACCATACATAGGCAACATAAAGGCTTCATCCTACTGTTAATGAAGTCAACATCAAAAGCCCCACGAACTTCAAAGAGCCAGGGAGGAGCCTCTTACTCCAGGATGCTTAGCAATGTCTCATGAGATATCCAGACAACAGCTCACCCACTGAAAGACAGCTCTGCCATATTGTTAATAATATAAACTGTTTATAATGTAATTTTACTGCAAGCTATAGCTGTTGATATTTTGGCCATGGAGCTGTATGTGTGGAGCATAACAGGAGGTCCAAAAGGCCCTGGAATTCTGCAGAAGGAACAACAAAATGCCAAAGCAATGAAATAATTGTATCTACTCGCTTTATTTCATAGTAGCACATTAAAAAAAAATTAAAAAAACACAACCAAAAAACCCCCAAAAATTAGGACTAAAAGATTTAGGAAGAACACTGTGTAGCATGAATTTTTAATGTCTTCAGCTATTTTTGTCTCTTTCTGCTGCTTGTGTAACATATTGCATGAATCTGTGTGCAGATTCTGCTGGCATCCCTCAGGCTGAATTGACTTGATCATTATCTACAAGAGGAGACGTCTGTGCAGATTATTAAGTTTGACTGCAGGGTCTGAAATTGTTAATTAGAATATAGATGAGATAAAGGAAAACACCAGCAATGACATCACTGTCTCTGGGAACGATGGCTTAGCTCGCAGTGCTGCGCCCTGGGGATTTACCACGCTTATCAAAGGGTTGGGAAGCACGCAGGATGAAACCAAGATCAGAGTAACCTTCTTACCTGTTCTGCCACCAAACCAGTGCTTGGGGGGAAGTTCCCGTGCCTGTGGTTACAGCCCGCCGGGAGCAGGCTCGGCCGAGAGGAACCAGGCGTTTCTCGAGGCAATCGCTCCCCCTGCAGACCGCGCTCGGAGCGGGCAGGAGCCGCGGCCAGCCCGGACCAGCCCCGGGCCCTTGGGCTGTGCCCGCCCTCCTGTGTCCCTTTAGCCGTGCTGGACACAGATCCCTCCTTTTCTATTCCTTCCTGGATAATACTTCCCCCACGTTTTCGCTCTTCTCACTCAGCTGTTTCCCGGCTCGCCCCTCTCCATCCCGTTCATCCGCTCTGGGATACCTGGATTTCCTTCCTCCTGCCCCAGCCGCCCCTACACCGCCCCAGCGGCAGCTGGAGGTGGGGGAAACCATAGGGCACAAGCACATTGTTCCCCTGGGCTTTCCTGCACTTTGTACTTCTCGAGGCGTCACAAGGGTGAAAACGTCCCATTCAGAGAAACACCACTTAGCAGTTGAGCTAATTAAAACATTAGTATTGCTTGCTGAACCAATGAATAGCAAATTGATGATTGATTCATTGATTGATTGATTGTAAACTGGTGACTGGTAATTAGATTGTTAGATTAAATAATTACATTGAATACTCTCAACCCATCAGCTGAGCATGTCCACACTCAGGATAAACCTTTCTGTGGACAGCATGAAAAATCAATTTTCCACTCTAGGACACTGCAAGAGGAGATCAAGCCTTGCTTTACCACCCTGGCTCCCATATTATCAAACCACCTTTGCCTACAGTATTTACTTGCCGTTACTTCTTTTAGGGAATGCAAATGCTACTCTTTCTTTCTTTTTGAAAAGGTGTCTACTACAAGGTTTGCTGTGAGCAGGAATATACATTGTATTTGAGTATCTGAGGGGGGTGAGCTAAGAGGAACACATGAACATGAGTGAAATTTTTCTCCCTTTTTTTGAGAACATCAATCTTTGAGGTTTTTTGATGTAAGGAGTAACACTGTTACCAAAAAAATGATATGATACCTTTCCTACACACCCCAGCATCTGCCCTGTTTGCTCTTTTGTCCTGGCCAGAGCTGGGCTGGCCTTAGCTCCCCTCTTCTTCCTCCAGCCCACAGATATTTCTTCCATCTTTCCTTTAGGAAGAACTGAGCAATGGATGACACTTCTTGGTTTTCATTTGATTCCAGCAAGCACCCACACTTTAAACTGAGAAAAGAGCTTTATATACAAAAGTCCTGGAAGGAAAGAAGAAGATGATGTGGTCTGTTTCTCTTGTGTCATTAACATTAAAATAAAACAGGATGAGGTGAAACAGTCACCAGCATTTGGACTTGTTGCTTGAGAAACCATTACCAGTTACCAGAAGAAAGGAATTCCTTGGAAACAACAGCTTTAGAAGCCAGAAGGAAGTTGCACAACTCTCAGTGGTGAAGGCAGCAGTTCTCATAACACAGCAGCAGGCTAAAGATGTGTCCTGAGTAATAACAGCTCATCAAGATGTGGCTGAAACCCTCATTATTACACCCCTGGTAACCAGTCAAGCCCTCCAGGCTGCAGACAGTCGAACCACACAGCTACTAGGAATGCCATCACAGGGGATTCTTTCTTTTTTATAGTGCTTAAAAGTCCTTAAAAGGGATTAAGAACCCTACGAGGAGGGTAATTACTATTTTCCCTACTTGACAAACCAGGAAAATGAGACCTGGAAACTTTAACTGACATATGCAAAGTGCTCCAGGTTATAATTAAGAGATCAGAGCTCCTACCTTTGGGGTCAAGCTGCTGAATTACTTTATGTTTATATATTATGTAAATTGGATTACTCTAAAAGAAGGTTTAAAATGAGTCTTGACTTCTAAATTTCCCTTCTGGTTCTGTCACTTGTCTATTTGACAAAATGCAAAAGGCATATGTAAACCAAGCCACACCTGTTTCACACTTGCAGCCTTTAATCTGCTGATGACTAGGAAGCTTTCTGATGCATACAATGAAAATGTTTGACAGCAAATATCACTGCCATTATATATACTCTTGTATTTATACAGTAGTATAAATACATCAAGAATTGGGAAGTTTAATCAGGACTGACAAAGCAGAAGGAAATGGACAAGGGACTTTACAGAATTTCTCACTCTATTGAGATATGGTGAATGCGGGAGATGCATTTCTGATTTTGCCTGGAAACAAAGCACATCCTACTCCTTGCACCTATTGCACTCCAGGATTTGAAGCAACATTGCTGAACATTCTGTTCTATGAACAGCAAGAGCTTTAGTTACTACATGCAGGGGAAAAGATTTGTGCTGCTCTAAACCCCATTATCCTCACACGATAATGTGGAATTTCTGTTCTCTTTTGTTCTGTATAAAGTTTAGTATTGCTGTCTCCTCTAAGACCATGAAAAATATCTGCCCTTTTGTAATTTGTTTTTTTCATCTTTATTAGAAGAACAAAACTAAATTTCAGCCAACATATTCAGGACAGCTGTGAGATAAATTGCTGTCAGATGATTTTAATTCTGAATGCATGATCCAGAGATCAACAGCTCCTTCACAGACAGGAATTCTGTAGCAGCCCATTTTTTAAATCCACCATGCAATTAATCAGGTTGATGCATCTATCAGCACCTGTATGTGTTATCTTTTGATGCAGTGAAAAATGTACAGCCCATAATTTTCATGGTCTAGAGCTCAAGCAGGTTCATGCATCCTGAGACCTGAGAACTCTGCAGGAGCTCCAGGGATGGGCACTCACATGCTGAGCCCCAGGACTTTACAGCATTGGCATATACAGATATTGCTGTACAAGTAAATATTGGCTAAGCCAGGGCTGTGTGCCCATAACCCTTTGAAGTGGCATTTCAGTATCTCCACAGACACACAGAATGATCTGTGAGGAGCTCTGTACTTGGGTGATCACTTCTCACCAGTCAAACACCACCACAAGGGTGAAGGGACACTGTTCTAAGAAGTGGACACCACAAATAACTGCAGGGTTTGTGGTAATGACTCCTGTGGCCACAGTCAGGGTGGGAAGCACTGTACTGATGATTGTGACTCATCAGGAACTGAAAATTTTTTCATGTGAGTTGGCTTAATGATAATGTAAAAGTAAATATTCTGAAGCCTGAGAAAGGCAACAAAAAGATTTTTGATGCAAGGTGTGAAACTCTGACTGAGATCAGCATTTTTAAGAAGGAATTCAAGGTGTTTCAGACAAGGAATTATTCCTAGCAGAATAAAGCATGAAATATCTTCTTGTAAGTGTTTTTCCTGCCCTGTACATAATCTGCAATTAAAATATAAGGACCAAGGGCCTCCAGTATTTATGGGCTAATTTTCTATTGAAGGAGCCTCTAAAAGCAGTTGCATTCCCCTCTTCTAGGCCAAAAGACATGAGCAGCTTTTGGGTGGCACACATACTGGTGGCACAGAAGCTCCTGGTGCTGCACGCCTCACTCTTGCCAAAAGTTTGACTCTGCCTCACTCAGCAGGGGATCAGTTTCACTCACAGCAGAGCACAGCAGGTCAGCACTCCTCAGCAACCATACAGAGTTATGAGTGTCTTATCCTGAGAGATTCAGGGCCAAGGAGCACAACCAGGGACTGAGCTCCTGGCAGAACATGTGGCACACACAGCTGAGTACCAGGGTTACATGCCACTTAAAAGCAGAAGCTACAGATGACACAGAAAATCCAGTGAATATGAGCCTATTCCTTCATCATACAAAATAAAACCTGCAAATAAGCAAGAATAAATATTATATAAATAAATTAATTTAAAAGGTTTGTCTTAAACTGAGGCCTGTGATTTGTAAGACACAGAAATCAGCCCTAGGGCTGGTGTAGGTATAGTGTGTAAAACTACCACCTAAACCAGGGGTAAAGGTGGCAATATTTCAGAAATTCAGATAACATTGTATCATCAACCACATTTTTTTACTCCTTCTGTGATTATAATTTGCTTACACCCAGGCTCTTATCAGTGTGCTGGGAAAACTGTATTTATGAAGCATTTCTAAGGGAGGTAAGAGGATAATGGGAATTCCAATCACAGCTGATCTCAGCAACTCACCTGTATCAATCAGCACAACAGAATTCTTAACAGTGAAGTCATTGCCATTCCATTATTTATTATTTCAGCAAGAATATTGTAAATATTTGGAGATAACAAAACAGGCTGTCATCCATGCAAAAAAGGTATCCCTCCTAAAGAGCTAATAAATTAATGACACTAATATAAAAGGTTATTACAAAATCTCATTGATGAACACTAGAGAAGCCCAGAGGGTTAACAGCACATGTTTAATGATTTCTGTCAGAACCCAGGACATTCTTCTGGCTGCCCTGGATGACTTGAGACCCTGGCAGGGGGATCAGAGACCTTGGCACAGAATAAAAAACACCTGTGCCTTCAATTTTAGCCCATGGAAACAATTACCAACTTTGTGTGAAGATCTAAAGCCACAAGAGTTTGAGTGAAATGATAGTTAATTTGTCACAGACTTTTGGGGATTTAGAATGGGGGTTCAAGAGCAAAAAAGGAGGAATCTAAGTGTGTCCTGTCCTTCTTCTCCTTCTTGTCCTCCATCTTCTGCCATGATGCTGACACTTCTAGATTGGTTTAGATAGAGACAGCCTGTCTAACATAGGTGATGGGTATTTGTCACTCTTGCACCAAGGTCAGGGCAGGAACAGGCGAGAGGCAGGATCGTAGCAAAGGCAAAGAAGGCTTCATTCAAAAGAACTGTGTAGTTTTTATAGAGTGGTATGATAGATTCTGTTCTATTGGCTAACTAACAGAAACACCTTTCTCACTCACTGTCCTTGAGAGGAACAGAAAAATAAAGCAGAAAAACACCACCTGCAAATTGTTAATACTCAACAAGTTATCACATCTTTCCAGCTCCCTAAAACTTCTCACAAGCTGCTGTGAGAAACGCTTGCTGTTTCTCTTTCTCTGTCCCATGGATCCACAGGTATTGGAAAATTATTGTAAATAAAGTACACGTGGTTTTTAGTATTAATAGCTAACAGCACCCCGAGGGCGGGCAGTGTGCCACAACCCGACCTGCCAGACACATCTCAGCAGGTCAGAGAAGGAATGTAATAGATAAGAGAGAATAACCTTGAAAACCAGAGCCGAGGAATCTCGACTTCTTCGGTCGCGGGGCTAGGAAAAAGGACTTTTTAATTTCTCGGGTGCCTTTTCAACCACAGAAAACCCAACAGATTTCTACATTTCTATTCCTCGCTGCGCTGCCGCCAGAGGAGCATCGCTGTCACTGCTCCCGCTGTCACTAGAGGGCAACGAAGGCTCCCAGAGCAGAGGTTCCTCCTCCACAGCCTGGGCTTCCCCAGAAGGATTTCTGCTCCCTGCAGCTCAGCCAGCCAGGTCGGCAGGGAAAGGTTTCCCCCTCAAGCCCCGGCGCTGCCGAAGGGGTCAGGCAGAGCCCGCGGCGGGAGCGCAGCATCCCCTGCACCTCCAGCACCTGCAGCCTCTGTGTACAGAGAGTACCTGAACCCTGTGTACAGACAGTACCTGAACCCTGTGTACAGACAGTACCTGAACCCTGTGCACGGACAGTACCCAGACCCTGTGTACAGACAGTACCTGAACCCTGTGTACGGACAGTACCTGAACCCTGTGCACAGACAGTACCTGAGCCCTGTGCACAGACAGTACCTGAACCCTGTGTACAGACAGTACCCAGACCCTGTGTACAGACAGTACCTGAACCCTGTGCACAGACAGTACCTGAACCCTGTGCACAGACAGTACCTGAACCCTGTGTACAGACAGTACCTGAGCCCTGTGCACAGACAGTACCTGAACCCTGTGCACAGACAGTACCTGAACCCTGTGTACAGACAGTACCTGAACCCTGTGCACAGACAGTACCCAGACCCTGTGTACAGACAGTACCTGAACCCTGTGCACAGACAGTACCTGAGCCCTGTGCACAGACAGTACCCAGACCCTGTGTACAGACAGTACCCAGACCCTGTGTACAGACAGTACCTGAACCCTGTGTACAGACAGTACCTGAGCCCTGTGCACAGACAGTACCTGAACCCTGTGCACAGACAGTACCTGAACCCTGTGTACAGACAGTACCTGAACCCTGTGTACACACAGTACCCAGACCCTGTGCACAGACAGTACCTGAACCCTGTGCACAGACAGTACCTGAACCCTGTGTACAGACAGTACCCAGACCCTGTGCACAGACAGTACCTGAACCCTGTGTACAGACAGTACCTGAACCCTGTGCACAGACAGTACCCGAGCCCTGTGTACAGACAGTACCTGAACCCTGTGCACAGACAGTACCCAGACCCTGTGCACAGACAGTACCCAGACCCTGCTCGTTTTGGCTTTAGCCCCCAGCTGCTCGGCCTTAGCCCTCCCCAGCAGCTCTAGAATGCTTGTGCAAAGCAGTGTGACAAGGCTGGCTGGGACACAGCTGCGTTCTGCTGGAAGGGAGCGGGGAAGGGACATCCCAGCGGCGAAGGCTCTGCTGCTGGATGTGACACACCCAGCAAGGAGGGGGCACCTGTACTCTCTGGGAGAGCCGGGACAGTGGCGCAAATCAGGTGTGAGCCTTGCTTTACACATGCCCCGTGTGGTTCTCACCCTGAATCAAAACACTCTGGCAGCTTCAGGTGCAGCCCAGCACAGCAGCTCTCCCTTCCCTTCCCTTCCCTTCCCTTCCCTTCCCTTCCCTTCCCTTCCCTTCCCTTCCCTTCCCTTCCCTTCCCTTCCCTTCCCTTCCCTTCCCTTCCCTTCCCTTCCCTTCCCTTCCCTTCCCTTCCCTTCCCTTCCCTTCCCTTCCCTTCCCTTCCCTTCCCTTCCCTTCCCTTCCCTTCCCTCCTTCCCCCAAGGCCTGTAGGTCTCACCCTTGTATTTTGCCAGTGAAAAGAACCATGGAAACAGCAAAATTCTAGTTTTGCTGTTTAAAATAAGCCCCAGAAAAGGTTCCCAAGCCAGAAGACTGAAAGGTCAATTATGGACTTAGGCAAGATCATAATAAGGGGGAGTTTTGATGGAGCCTGCTGCCAACCTCACCTCTCAGCACAGAACCTGCTGTGTGACCTCCCTTTCCCTCCAGCTGCAGCCACTGCTCTTTCCAAGACAGATAAGCAAGTGGTATTTATTTATTACCGAGTCATTATATTTTTTTTATACTGCAGTCAGGCTACAGGAATGTGTGGGACTGGCAAGAAGGAAAGAAAAGATCATTGGCTGGCTGTGAAATAAGGATTTCAATATCAATTAGAGCAGATTAGATTAGAAGCATGGGGAAATACTGGTCTTGTCAGTTTTTCTGTGTTGATTTTCACCTGCTTTCTATTTTCCCAAATGCTATATTTTTTACTTTTCCCAAAGTCTCATACTGGAAAGTAAAAATGGGAAAATATGTGGTCCAATCACTGTCTTGTGTATATATATATATATATATATATATAAACAAATATACATTGTGTAGACCCATGTGTATACACAAAACATATGTATATAAATATATACACATATCCATTTTCTATACATACATGTGTATACATTCATGATGAACTTGTGTTCACATGTAAACATGTGTTTACATGAGCTTCCAGTTCACAAACTTGGCATTTTTCCCCAGTATTCTTCTGCACAAGTGTGGGAAAAGAACAGAGACCTTGTTGTCCAAAATAGGGTTATTCTAGAGCAGTCTGCCGAGATAAATTTAATATATTTAAGTAGAAAAGAAAGTGTAGAAGAAACAATCTGCAAATATACACTTAATCCTCCTCTGCTTTTACTTCCCCTTTTCTCTATTCAAGGTAACAGAACTATAATTTCATCTGTCTAAACAGTACCAGCACAAATATCATGGCCTGATAATCTTGTAACTTTAGCTACAGGAAATATTATGTTATGTTGTGAACAGCACAGAGTGATTTGGATGCATGCAGGAGCCAGCCTGTGCCAGCTCCTGCTGTCCTGGGTGTCCCCTGAGGCACAGCTGAGTGTGGCACAGGGGCTGCAGAGGTGCCACCAGGAACCACCAGCGCTCCCAGCTGGGGGAAGAAGCAGAATTATACAGGAGCAGGGTCTGTTTGCAGGGCTGAGGGATCCACATGTCCTTCAGCAGAGCAAAACACAGCCCTCTGTAGCTCTGGACTGGGTAGATCATCAATACCAGCCAAGACCTCAGTGATGTGCTTCTCTTTATAGGATTAAATCGTGAGAGTGTAATGGATGGAAAGCCTAAGCAGCATTCAGCCATGCACAAGAAGAAGATTGATCTAAAAGAAGGAGTGATATTGATTTTATGCTTTCATTCTCCACATTTTGTCGATTTATTTTGGAAGGAATTTCTGCCTTTCACTTCCTGAGTTATATTGATGAGGTGGTATTGGTATATGAGGGTGGTGCCCAGGACCACTCTGAACCACAGAGGAACCACTACACATGTAAAGGTGACAAGATCAAGTTATTGTTTAGCAGAAGATCCAAAATAGCTGTGCTTTTGTTGGGGATGGCAGTTCTCCACAAAAACAGGAGTCAAAACATTGAGTCCACTGAATATAGATACCTGACAACCTGGACAAAGCCTAAAATGTCTCTAAGATCAGGAAGGAAATGAGTGATATATTATATCCAGGTTTCCAACACCAAAGAATGGGGAAATGCTGTGAAAAGGGAGTAGAACAGTCAATTTTGCCACTGTTTCCCTCTGCTACCATCCATTTCCATGACACCAAACAAGAAAAGCAACAAACCTACTAAAAATATGGAAAAGATCTGATATATCTCTTCAATGTCAATCTATTATACAGGACATTTTATCAAAGATATCATAGATTCTGCTTAGAAATGAAGATTTCCAGTGTCTGCCAATTTCAAGGCACTGCTCCACTGAAGTGTCCAGTATTGTAGTGGAAGTGAGGAACAGCAGCTGAATTCTTTTTTAACAGCATCAGTTGCCACCTTCTGTTTGACCTTCCTAATCTGTTGGACCACAGCAGTCAGATGGACATTTTTTTCCCAAAGAAAAATCAATTCCAAATCTGAACACACACCAACACATTTGATACTACCATAACAATAGAAGGGAATTGGCTGAGAGATAAAAATGGAAGACTTCAGGACAGAAGCAGAAAATATGAACCTTTGTGGGAAAGGGCATCACATTCATGCTGTCAGTAAATTCAGATGAATGATGAACTTGGTTCCAATGGCCTTGCCATGTCAAGTTTAAGTTAGCTGACTCTGAAGCAGGGGTCAGGCTTATTTGAAGTGACATAAGAAAAAATCTGTGAGAGGAAGAACTGAATCTCTGGTATTGAATTTGCCTCCTTCTCTAGAACAAAAGCTGCAGTTTTTCCCCTCCACTGGCCACAGCAAGCAGCATTACTAAAACCACAGCAGCTTTACTGGTAGCACAGAAGGAAACTGAGAGGCAGCGTGCAAACTGCACCGCACATTATGGGAAAACGATGACACAGATGAAACTTATGAAAGAGCACATTCTCTTGTTGGTCTGAAAGAGCTTTCTGGCTTTGCATTTTTGATTCACTTTTATCTTCTTTCTAGAGAAAAACACATGGCAGCAGTGTGGAAAAATGAGTGATGATGTCAGAACTGGCTTATGAACCAGAGCTGTGTTTCTTTACAGTGTACAGGTATTAGAACAGATTTCATTTTGTCTCATGTTCTTTCTGATACCTCCTCCTCCTCCCCATTAGATTTCTCTATTTGCTCTCCTTTATTTAATAATAAATACACCTGTTTTTTTCTCTGCTTATATTTTTCAATTGTCCCTTAGTTCCTCTTCATTCAAAATTTCCTATCACTAAAAGGGGAATAAGAATACTGACTTATCTCTGTAAACTGTTAAAAAAGCAGACAAAGACTCTAGGTAACATTGCTGCTAAGGAATAGCAAATTACAATGTACTTTATCGGAGCCAGATAAACATCCTATATTTTTTATTAGATGTAAATCAATAATTTGAAAAATTATTGATCTCTAATAAATGTTAAATGAAATCTGCAACAGTTTCCTGGTAATTGGGCCTGTTCTGATAAATGGTTCACTTAATATTTTAGAAAGGGCTCTGCTTAATAAATTTGTTAATTGGGCTACAGGGATTTTTCTTCTCTTTTTGTACTGAATTAGAAAATTCTTGTGAGATTGTGGCTTCTATGAAGAAGAAGCAAATCAATTTATTAGCCTGGGCTGATGAATTTGGTAAACTCACTGTGTGCACTTCCTTTTACTTTACTGAAAACCAAACAAGTCACAGTCCCCCATTTAGATCACAATAGAACAGAGAAAAGGAACAATTGGTAATGGGAAAATGTTAACAAATCTTACTGTAAAGTATGATTTGGACCTCTTTGTATTGCAGCTTCTATACAGCTGTATTATGATGCAATAAAGATGGAAATAACTTATGTTTTGAGAGGGTATTGGGTCAAAACAATTCTATACATTACCAGAATCTGATGGTTTCATTTCTTGAAGCACACTGAGAACTTTTCTCCACTAAGAACCACAACAGAAATGCCCTCGTAAATATTAAAATCCTGTTGACTGAAACTAAATAGAGCCCACAGGGTTGCTTACCTGTGACTAATTTACTTTGAAGATTTTTCTCTAGTCATTTTCCTGCTGACCCCTGTAGTAACCTTCTTGTGCTTCTTGGTTTGTTTTTCTCGGGTGGAGTTTTTGTTTGGGTTTTTTCAATGAAGAAACATAACCAGAAAATGGAACTGATCATAGTGTTACCTTTTTATCTTGGCCATGTGGCGTTAGAACTTTGAGCTATGGTGCCTGAGTAACATTCCAAGAGTATCTGGAGCTCTGACCTGTGAGCCAACCATCTGGGTACTGCTAGAATTAAAACTGATAAAAAATACATTAGCTAGAGGAGTGATTTTGGTTTCAGTTTCTTTCTGATGCTGTGACTCATAGGGTTTCTGAAGTAAATGGGTGCAATCCATAATCTTCTGGTAAGAAGACTCTTTGAAAAAACATTAGATAATTATCAATACACTGAAACACACTGCCTTGGGTCGAATTGTGAGACACACAAAATAAACCTCACAGCCCCAGCTCAATAATCAAGGATCCAGAGTAACCAAAAAACCTCATTACTGCTCTAAAGAGAGTGAGGGACTCAAGTGAATATAATTTGTCACTTCACAGTCTAGGTTTCTCCAGCATGTTGCATCAGATATGTACTCTATTTGCCAAGACTGTACAGCACTGGCTCTGTGTGTGTGTCTGCACATGCACACAAATGTGAGCTAACAATGTATAAACAGCTCCTGTGATATGCAATGTCATTTCTATATAACATTTTATAATACCAGGCAAGAAAAGTTCTTACTCCAGAATTCTTATAGGACAAGTTTTCTGTCTTTTAAAAGCCT